AATAAAATCGATTCTCTGAGTGGGACTGAATGTGGATGAGAATGCCTTCTAGGGCAAAGGGGGTGACGTGTGTGAACTAAGAGGGGTGTCTTTATCTCCACCGCTGTGTGTGTGTCTCTCTAGCCCTCTGTCATCTTTCACCCTCTCTCTTCTTGTCACCCTCTCACCCTCTTCTTTGTTGACCTTCTACTTGGCCAAGAATTAGGCTCTTCTCCGGGGACTCATACTTTCTGAAAGTACCCTGTATATGCTCAATGTAAGTCTAGAGCTCATGTGAACATGCTCTGAAGCTACACCTTGCTACAGAGAAAAAAGAAGGTAACACAAACCATGTTTCTTCAAAAGAAGAAAATTTGCACACTAAGAAAAATAAAACACTAAGTGGTTGAAATACCATGACGTGGCTCCCCCTCCTATCCCTACAGATGATGGGACCTCCATTGCCCTGGTACCCTGTCGGACATCCTGGCATCGGAGCAGGCAGGCACCTCTGCTTCCCTCACTTGGTTCTGGCCCCCCATGGCCATGGCCATGCCCACAGAGCTGCCAGTGCTGACTACACACTCAGCCAGAGCCGGGTAGGCTCGGGGGGCTGGGCTGAAACAGCAAACAGATTACTCAACGCCTTTGAAGGGAGAACTGCCGGGGAGGCAACAACCCAGAGTCACAAAGAAACACACACGTACACACAGACCCACACAGTCCAGTAAACAGAAGCAAATGCAGATTCGGCAGAAGTCCATACACACCTACAGCCCCGCGGGCACACACATTCACATTCACACATGCTTTCTCATAGGCACAGACTCACACTCACATTCTCTCACACACTCACATCCACTCACAGACACGCATTGTGCCACATTCACTCACACTCACACATGCACACTCCCACCGCCCACTCTTGGACTCCAACTCACAAATATAGGCACACACTTTCGCATAGCCTTACAGACTCACACACACACAAATACACACTTTCTCCCAGACTCATGTGCATCCATGCTCACGCACACACATATTCATACTCTCATACTCAACACACTTCCTCACACTCAAACCCATACATGCTCATCCAGTCACACATGCACACACACACACACACATAGATGATAAGAACTTGCCTATGAGATCCTCCCTCACACACACCCTGCCCCCGCTCACTCAGCGTGAGCATGTCCCCCTACCATTCTGGACCACGCTGATGAGGGTGACGATGGCCAGCAGGACAATGTTCCCCAGGGTTTCTTGATCCATGTTGGCGTCGGGCTCCCCAGAGAGGACTGTCAGGCCTCTGGACAGCCCGGCCACTCCCGGTGAGGAAGGGGAAGTGAGGGCCTAGGCGCAGGCTTTCATCATTAACATTTCCGACCGACCCAGAACAATGACACAGTGTCTCCTTCTTCTTTCCTTCAAACTGCTCGCCGCTGGGCCCTCGCTGTGGCTCCGAGCGGCTCACAGGAGAAGTGGAGCTGGGGTGGGGGTGGGGGGCGGCCAGAATGAAGTCGTCGCTTCTCCAGCACCACCTGGTCTCTTGCGCATCCTCCTCAAGGGTGCCCCTAGTAGACTGTTTTCGGTCCATGTCAGCTCCCGGTGAGTACCGGTGCCGGTGGAGACCAGTGAACGCCCGGGACTACCAGAAGACCAGACGATCTCTCTTGGAAGAAGCACAGTCGGAGGCTCCTTGGAAGAGAGGATGGTGAGACGTCGCTCACCTACATGGACATTTGTCAGGAGAGACCAGTCCCTGGAGAAGAGCCTAATTCTTGGTAACGTAGAAGGTCAACATAGAAGAGGAAGACCCTCAATGCGATGGATTGACACAGGGACTACACCAACCGGCTTCTACACAGCAGCAGCACTTGTGAGGATGGCGCCCGACCGGGCCGCGTCTCCTTCCGGTGTCCACAGGGTCACTATGAGTCGGAACCCACTCTAGGACACCGAACGAGCACCACCACAGTGCCTACAGTATCACTCTTGTTGACGTCCAGTCCTCTTAGGACTCATACTGGGTATATTTTACATTCTGATGAGTCATAGATGTTTACAGCTGTTTCTTCTCCTGGCGAGTCCTGCACGGCTGTAAAAGTAAGGGCCCCAATGCTTTGCTCCATCCACGTCGACAAGATTGACTCTCCTTTGAGAAGGCATCCCTCCCCCAGTCGGATTTTGAGGGTGTTCCCGCTTGATGGACCCTTTTCCCAACACTATTGTCAGATAAAGCGCTGCTACTCTGCACGAGTGTTTCCGTGCTTGATTGTTTAGAAGTGATTCGCCGCTTCCTTTGCCTGGCCTGCCTGAGTCTGGAAGCGCCACTGACACCCTCTGACCCGGGGTGACTGTCAGCATTTGAAATGCTGGTCCCATCGCTTCCAGCAGCACAGCGACATTCGCTACAGGAACCGGCAGCGTTGTGTTCTGTTGGGCAGAGGGTCATGATGGGTCAGAGGGGACTCGGTGACAACTAACCACAATGTTTTCTGACCTGGCTCTCCTTTCCTGATCATGCACACTGGTGGGGTGTATACACCTCACTTGGGTGCTCGCTGGCCCGGTAGATAAGACATGAACTACTCGGGTGGCAAACTGCCTCACCTCGCTTCCCCAGAGCAGGTCACGAGTTCAGGCTTTCAGTTAGCAACCCAACCCTTAACCCACTGAGCTGCCACTGCCACAGCTCCTCCCACCTGGGCAGGGCATGCCAATGACTTACACACCACGGAAGGTCCAACACTGAAAGGAAGAGAGACGTGGTCAGGTCTCAGTTCTGGTCAGGTTCCCATGTAGTTCTCTTCTTCCTCTTCTCCTCCTCCTCCCTTTCCTCCCCTCGCCTCTCTCTCCTCCCCCAGATCCTCTTAGCACGTCAGCCTATTTGCTCTGCAGACCAGGAGGTTAGGGCCACCTGCAGCCCTGATATTTGACAGCTGACAGGCTCTGCCACCTGTCGGGGACTGGTTTCTTCCATTTAAAGTTCCAGGAAGGACTCATTGGCCAGGTGTGCATTCTTGGGTAGGTTGACCAGAGGGCAGCTAAATGGGAACACATGGTAGCTCCCACGATACTGATACGATGGAGGAGAGAGTGTATAGTTCAATGGGATGCTCTCCAAACTTCATAATTGTGCTTATCAATCTTTACAGCTAAGGTTCAGCGAGTCAAATCGTGCAGTAGGTTCTGAACACCAACAAGCAAGAGATTCCAGGTTCCAACCGGGTCTTGGTGTCTGAACCAATAAAATCGATTCTCTGAGTGGGACTGAATGTGGATGAGAATGCCTTCTAGGGCAAAGGGGGTGATGTGTGTGAACTAAGACCAGAGTTGAGCAAAATTTTCTAGGGTCCTATAAATCCCACCGTAGGACCCTATCCCACCCCCACCCAGCCATACACATCATGACCACAGAAGAGTCACTTTGAGGGAGAATGTGGGCCAGTGGCATTGGTGGAAGCAGAGAGCTAAATCTCAGAGAGAGCTGATGTAGGGAAGGATTCCTATTCCCACATGTAAACCAGCAGAAGTCTGCAAGGGAAAGAAGCCAATGGAGGCCACTTGGTTGACTGCTCACACACACGCTTTGTAAAGTACAGACGGTCCCCAGCTTCATTAAGGGCTCTGCACTTGCAAGATGTATGCATCAGCCTTCATTTCATCTCACTGGCCATCCAGGTTGGTACGTCTCAGGGACGTTTAGGTCCCAGTAGCCAAGAAGTCCATAAAGAGTTGGTGCTCGTCCAGTCTGAGAGATAGTGGTGCATCAGAAGTGAAGGAAGGCTTTATGGTTTGGGAGTTAAGACCTAGCAGTCGCCTGAGATGTGATCAAACATAATGTAATCACCTGCATGAGATCTGTCATGAACAGCCAATCAGCTGTGAGGATGGGCTACAACACCTTTACTCAGGTCATAGCCTTGAAGCAATCAACTGGGAGGAAATTTCCCCGGGGATGTACCTTCCAATATAAATAGATGCGATGGAAAATATTAGCATGCCTTTTGCTGGTTCTTGCAACTGGCTCATCCTCCTATCCACAGCTGAACTTCCATATTCCCTGACAATCCTGAGAGTTGTGAGAAACCTGTCGTCTTACCTGCCTGCCTTGAATTCATTTCTCTGCAGCCAGCAGCCTATGGTATTGCCTGCTGGGCTTGGTCTCTTCAACCGCTGCAACTGCAGGAGTCAGAGGAAACCTCCAGCCGGACACCTGACCCACAGACTTGAAACTAACCAGCCTCGACAACCGTAAGAGTCATTTCTTTGATAGAAACCTCTCCATATAGATACGTTGTGGAGCCCTGGTGGAGCAGTGGTTACAAGTTGGGCTGCTCTCTACGTGGTTGGCAGTTTGAAACCACCAGCAGCTGCCCGGGAGAAAGACTGGGCTTTCTACTGTGAAACAGTTCCAGTCTCGAAACCCACAGGGGCTCACTGTGAGTCAGCATCGCCTCGCTGGCAGGGAGTTTGGTTTGGTTGATGCGTATACATCTATAAGCTCACTGCTTGGGCTTCTCTCTAACGAACCCAGCCACAGGCATGTGGGCAAACAGGAAAGCACCCTGACTCAACGAATCCAAACCACTGAAGATTCCTCAGTGACAAGAACAGAGAAGTGGTCAGGTCTCCGTGGTTCCGGTGTACTTCTCGTCTTCATCGTCTCCTCCTCCTCTCTTTCCTCCCCTCTCCTCTCTCTCCCTCTCCGGATCCTCTTAACACGTCAGCCTTATTTGCTCTGCAGACCAGGAGATTACAGACACCTACAGTCCTGGTATTTGACAGCTGGCAGGTTCTGCCACCTGTCCGGGGCTGGTTCCTTCCATCGACAGTCCCAGGAAGGTCTCACTGGCCTGGGTTGGTCAGGTATGCATTCTTGGGTACTTCAACCAGACGGCAGCTAAACGGGAAAGCACGGAAGTTCCCATAATACTGATCTGATGGCGGGAGACCATTGCCTAAGGGGAGACGGAAGGCATATGGGCACATCTGAGAGAAGGTCCAGTAGCTGGCACCTCCACGGTAGGACTGATCCCCATCGACCTGGACATATGACCTCCCGGAGTGTCCCCACCAGGGTGAGAGCAACTCTAGAGGTGCTCGCTGGCAAACCAAGTCCGCTGCCCCTGGGAGGAGCGTCTGAATGGGCGGCTGAGACGGTCATTCAATGACCGAGGCATGCATTAAGATTCTGGCTGCAGCGCAGGGCAGCACTTAGCAGGGGTGATGCCTCTGGAAATGTCATCTATCTCGATGGATTGCTGCTGAGACAGAACCAGAAAGACCAGGGCTGTGGAGGAGGAGGCCGTGGGGGAGGAGCGGGGAGAGAACCAGCCTGCGGTGCAGCAGAAGCTAGAAGGAGATAGCTCCCTGTCTGCAGTCAGTCCTCAGGAAGGCACAGCCCAGAGCCCAACCAGACCCACGGGCCTTCTCAGAGCTAGCAGCCAGTTTGGCGACCCCGTTCTGAACATCTGGTGTGGGTTCTTTCCATCCAATCTTTGGGGGATGCCCAGAAGGAGGAGCCCCGGTGGTTCAGTGGTTAAGGGCTGGGCTGTCAGCCAAAAGGTTGATGATTTGAATCCACCAGCCACTCTGAGGGAAAGAGATGAGGCAGCCTGCCTTCATAAAGATTGATGGCCTAGCTTCTCATGTTAGGAGGAGGAGATCAATTTATCTATATAGCAATGTTCTAGTCACCCCAAATCAACAGACAGCCCTATAAGAGTAATTAGTGAGCCTTACCGGGAAATCAGATCAAGAGGGGTGTGGGGACACTTTGTATCCGAGAAAGCAATTGGACTTCTCATAGTGGGTAAGTTGCGGGGGACACCCCACCATTGAGGAAAATGCTTAACATTACTTATAGAAACCCCAGAGGGAGAATATGCCCGATGCTGTGTTTCCAACTAGGCACTTGACCTAATTTCTAACCAACCTCTGGTGACCCGAGCAGCATTCTACAGACAATTGGGACACTGTACTCTGTCCTTTTGGTACACAACACCCTTCATGGACCACACTGAAGGACCTGATTTGGAAACACCCCACACACACACACCACCACCACCACCACCCCACCCCACCCCCGCCAACTGAGCTCTGCCTTGAACTCGCTTGTAGCAGAACTAAGAACCTGAAAGACGCCCTTGAAGGCTAGACTAGATCACCCTCTTGGGAGAAGAAAGAGACAATCGCTATCCCAAGGTTAGGAAATTGTTGGGACTCTGGATGGGTTCGAACCTATTGCTTTGCGGTTGCCCGACAAGTGATGACCCAAGACCAACATGTAGTTGCTCTCTTCATGATTTCTCTGCCTTTCTCGTGACCTGTCTTAGGCTACCAGGTGTGGTCCTGCCTTCCTAAATAAG